CCTGACCCAACAATGAGTGTTTTGAGAATGGGCCCTATTTTATTCATATTTGAATCATCACAGCCTAGCACAGCTCCAGGGATTCCTGGAACACAGTTGAAACTTAATACATGTTGTTTGTCCCTTAACTGAATTATTTTCCTCCTGTAAGCTAATCATTTTCATTATCAAACAGTCAAGGGGAAATTAAGAGGGAAGAGGAGATCTGACTCTGCAGGAACTACTGAGGCCAGAAAAGAAAAATAAAGTGGCTCTCTGCGAGAGTGATTTCCGTGCCTGCCATACACATCCTGAGCTGGGGCAAACAGAGAGCCCTGGGTGAAGTCAGAATCCCACGGGTACAGCCTAGAGCAGGGGTGGGCAAACTTTTTGACTCGAGGGCCACAATGGGTTCTTAAACTGGACCGAAGGGCCAGAACAAAAGCATGGATGGAGTGTTTGTGTGAACTAATATAAATTCAAAGTAAACATCATTACAAAAAAATTTTTTTTTTTTAGTTTTATTCATTTCAAACGGGCCGGATCTGGCCCGCGGGCGGTAGTTTGCCTACGGCTGGCCTAGAGGCAGTGTCATTGGGGGCTGGAGGGGAGAAGTTAGGTGCAGGACCCTTCCTCCCATAAAGGCCAATCTCCTGTCCACTTTAAACATACGGCTCTATAGAATGAAGTTTCATAATAGACATCAGCAGCATTGGCATATATTGCTACTAATGATAAACATTTATTGGGCACCTATTATTTCCTTGGAATACAAGAAGGGATAAAACCTCCACCTCCAAGAGACTTTAAATTAGTTTGAAATTCAGCATATAAATGCAGCAAGATAACTAACAATATCAGGTCACATTTACTAAATGTCAAAGGTAAACAGTAAGTTCTTCAGGCATCCTATGTGACCTAGGGCTTTCCCTTCTCTGTTCCACCAGGGCTCCATCTACAAACCTCCATCTACAAACCTCCATCTACAAACCTCCATGGGCACCCCACAGGCCTGTGAGTACACCGCGCTTGTATACTCCTATGGGTCCTTTGTCTCCTCTGGTATATCAACTCCTCCCAGACAGGGAAAATCTTGACTTTTTTCATCTTTGGGTTCTACAACCTGGCCAGGTACCTGGCACTAATAGCGTTAAATAAATATTTAATTGATTTACTAATGACCGTGGAATGTGAGCTGAGCTTTTAAGGAAGGGCAAACCAGAGATAAGAAGTGAAGGCTGGGCTTTCCAAGAATGAGCAAGGGAACCAAGTGGGTGATTAGAAATTGCAGGCAGGTAAAGAAACCTTGTGGTCACAGCCCTACCCTCTACTACCCCATTCCTGAAATTATCAACTCCCTGCTGGTATCGCCCTCAGTCCAGAGCACCAGGTTTTCAGAGCTGGTCTTCCTTCGTCCAGCCTTTTGAACTGTAACACCCAGCTTACGCTGATAGTCCTAAACCTTTGCTGCTTTGATCTCAATATCATTTCCTGATCTATTTTTCCCTTGTTCCTTTTTCTGCTGATTAAATTGGGAAGGAAGGAAAGAAGGAAGGAAGGGAGGGAGGAAGGAAGGAGTAAACAAACAGACGAACCCAAATAACCCTAATTTAACACTGAATTGATACTTTATGCAAACACAAAATGTGGGAGTGCCAGTCAGTAAAAATAGCCTTGGCCCGGGGAGTTACCCCCACCCACCAAAGTGGAAATTCCGTAAAATGAGGAGACAGCTTCTCAGCTTTCACAGCTCCTCGGACATGACCATGCACCATACAAATTAACAACGTCCATCTGGTAGCTGAGTCCATCTTGAAGACTTAGAAGGCTTTGGTCAAAGTCAGGTCATGTCACACCCCGCAACCAAAACAAAGTGGACAGGACTTGAGCAGATGATTCAAACAAGAAGTAAAACAAAACACTCATCCTCCACTCCTCAAGTCCCCTGAAATGGGAAAGAAAAGCTGTTACCTGACTTATCTTGGGTAGGGGAAGGTTTCTATCTGAAAAATCCTACTAATTGCCAGAGCTCCGTATTTGCTGGACAGACAGGGACTCACTATTGAGAAATGCAACTTTCCACAAGCTCATCCTGAGGTACCTGTGGAGGCCCCTACGTCATCACCCATTTCCTGTGCTCGATCTGAAGTGCTCTGATTTTACATTTCACATCTTTAAGGGGATATCAGACTAATTAAAGTCCCTGGGAACTAAAACCACAGATTTTTTTCCTCAGTATGGTCACATGTGAACACAGCCTTCCCCCAGGAGTTAACAGAACAGGTAAATGGAAGAATCAGAAAAAGACAGTAAAACAGGTTTTCACTCACATACTAGAATGGTAAACAGATATTTCAGTTTTTGCAAAAAAATAAAAATAAACTACTTGACAAAGGGACACCCAGAAGCCAAGAAGTTCTCAGAAGTTCATTCAATTCAGAAATGATGAATGTATGTGAAATGCTAAGACAGTCACTGGGGGAAAATTCAGTGTCTTTAAGGGGCATATGAAGAACAATTTGGGTAACTTGAGGTATAAGTCTTATCATTTTTAGCATATCACAGGCCAATAAAGAGTCACTCTCAACCAGCCAGCATGGCTCTGGGTTGAGTGTCAACCTATGAACCAGGAGGTCACGGTTCGGTTCCAGTCAGGGCACATGCCCAGGTTGTAAAAAAAACTTTTTAAAAAAGTCACTCTTCAAAGCAACAGGAGCAAACATTTATCAAGGACTGTTCTTGGATTGCCCTCCAGATCTAGCTCTCCCTTTTTCTGCCCCATTCTGTGCCCTGGGAGGAGCCCCTGCAGACCCAGGTCAGCCACCTTTGGGTGGGGTCTGACCACTGAAGAGCACTGGAAATAAATGCAAGGGCTGTGGGGTGGAGGGCTGAGAGGGCTGAGGTTCTCTCTCGCTGCTCCCCCCACCCCATCCTGGCAGGTCCAGCTCTCACTGGGCAGCAGCAAATTAATAAGGAAAATGGAAGAATCAAAAAAGATAATAGAAGAGTTTTTTCATTCAAACTTCCTTCACTTTCCACTTCAGCTCCCAGGTCTTGGTACCTGAACATCATTTGCCAGTTCCCTTAATCCTGCCCACACCCCCCCTCTAAGTAGTTCATTAAAGTTTCTTCATTGCAGCCCACTGAGTTGAATTTTGTTTCCTGCCAGCACTGTGCTTGACACGAGGACCTTCCTAACTTTTATATCTACATAAAAAGTTTATATCTACATAAAATGTCTCAACTGCAAAATGTAGGTCTTAATGCCACCTCCCATTTCACACATGAGGATACTGAGACTCTGAAAGGGTAGAGTGCCAGCCGTGGTCAAACAGGAAGTCTGCTGGCAGAGCAGGAATTACACCCTGGCCAGTCCAACATCTAAGATCTTAAAAAGCTCTTGAAAGTGGGAGGGAGAAACACTCTCAAGCTGCCTTACAGCCTCAAATCACGTTATTCATGGTTTGGGATTTCTCCCTGGGTCTAAAATGAGCTAGTTGGGGCATCGCCCTACAAGTGCTTCTCCCACCAAGAGGCATTCAGATGTGAGTATGCTGGAGGGTGGAGCGCTGTCCTAAGATGGAAGAGTTCACAGGTGCTCCCTCCTTACCCATCGCCCACACCCTTCTTTCCGTTCACCCCAGAAATCCTTAAACATCATGAGGCTCTTTTATTCTTTTTTATAAACTAAAAATAGCGTTCTTATGACAGAGACCCAGGATATTTGGAGAGAGGGGGGTGGTGCAGTTAAAAAGCATTTACTAACATCATACTAGCACCTCCCGCTAGGTTCCGTTAATAGTGTATCTCTATTCAGTGTATCTCTATTCGTACATAGGCCTGGCTGGATTCCTCTCTCTAGCTGTGCAGGGTAGGTTAAACAGGAACTCCTACCATTTGCAATAGCATGGATGGAGCTGGAGAGCATTATGCTAAGTGAAATAAGTCAGTCAGAGAAAGATAAATATCACATGCTCTCACTCATTTGTGGATTATAATGAACAACATAAACCGATGAACAAAAACAGATGTAGAGACAGAGAAGCATCGATCAGATGCTCAAAACTCAGAGGGAA